AAAGTGAAGTCAGTAGGCACAGTCCCAGTTCTGGTCTAAGTCAAGGGGTCAGTCCAGATCCAGACTTTCAAGTCCAAATCCAGGCCGAAGTGCCTCAGCAGCAGTTGAATCTCATTGGGACTGTATTGGGACACATGCACTGCAGGGTCTGGGACAAAGGGAGAGGCTGAATTGAGCCAATGCAGACCCAGCGAGGAGTGGCCAGCACTATAAAAARARCWGCCTGCCTCATTCCTCGCCAGATCTCCACTGGCTGCAATGCGTGGAAGTGCTGGTGCACTTGTGCGCTGAGTCAGGAGGAGCAGCGCTGGAGGAGAAGACGCGCTGGAGGGAGGAAGATGCCTGTACACTGGAAGTGATGCAGCCATAGCTGCCCAGCGAGTTAGCATTAGTAGTAGAGGGTTAGTATGTAGCTATGAGTAGTATCCAGAGTAGATCCTCATGAGTATTGAAGAGTGTGTATGCATCATAGGAGGAAGGGATTGAGGCTGAGAGTGTTCATTCAAGGTTGGCTATGGAAGATACTTACCTGAGTTCGATGTGACCTGCAGAGGTGGCGCTGATGAGTGGTGACCACATTGATGACTTGGAGACTATCTGCAGGGGTAGCACTGATTCACTGGAAGGCATATTGATGAGTTGGCAAAATATTGGTGTTGCGCTGATGAGCGCTGGACTCAGGGGAACTTTGAAACACTTTGTATTCATATTTCTGATAATATAAACTGTGAAACTCGGTCCTCATCTTCTCTATCTTTGTCTATTGTCAGACTACGGTTCATTGTGTGTGGGAGTACGATGCATGGCATGTACACACTTGCGTGAGATGGTCCCCAGGACCCATGCACTTAAGTCCTGGATGCATGTGTTAGCCTATGGTTTGAATGGTTGCATCGCAGGTTCCTGTGGGGTTGTCTTTGCAGTTAGTGGTATGGTTAGGTGGAATATATACATCATTCATACATACGTTTATACATACCTATGTATAAATATACACACTTACATACACATGCATTGTGAGTGTATGCATACATGTATGTCTGAGCCCGATGTACGAGTTAAGCCACAACTCTCAACCTTAAGCCCTAGTGGACTGAGGAGAAAATAAGGGTTCTAGGTTATAATGTTGATTGGCTTTGTTTACCTTATGGGCTCAACAGCCTGTTGACTTGCAATCTTCATTCGTAGCCACTAGTGGAGTAAAAATTACTAAAAAATAAATGAAGGTTTAAGTGTTTGCTCCCGTTAAATCTTTCCGGGGTTGTTAGCTTTCTTTCTGTAGTAAAAATTACATCCCCCCCATAAACCTTAGTTTGTTGTCGGCCTACTTAACTTTGACGCCAGGTACTTAAGGAAATACGAAACTGCAAACCACCCACATTTCCTCAGTCCAACCCCCATTGACCTCGCACAGAGCTTATAGGTTGAACCCTTACACCTTGAACCACCAACAAGGACAAATAAAGCATAAAAAGAAAAGAAGGAAAAATGATATGCGTTGGGCAGTGGGCATTACATCAGTTTCAGCAAAACTTTGATAATGAGCATAGGGAAATGCACATCGTTTTTCTTTTTAACATGAATGCCTATGAATGTTTGTGACCACGTCATTCTCAACTTTTTATTTTCTGAAATTGAATTGTCATAAACATCACCTGCTGAATGTTGAAAGGCTCTCTTCAACGTGCCCAACTGCCACTTCTCCATCCTTTGTACGGAAACCCAGGCCCATAGCAGTAACTGGCCTTGCTGAAAAACACATAGAATTACCACATTAAGACTTTGTTAATTTGTTGCGCAATTACAGCATAGCCTCTAAATTAAGTCCAGAAAAGGATGACCTGACTAGAAAAGTACCACGTGATTGTGGGGATCTTCCGCTACTTGGCAGAACAAGCAAGGCCATACTTCTACTGAAGCTCCTGGTGAGAGGACAATTGGTAGCAGTGGGGATATGAGGGGAAAGATTGCAGATGAGGACTACAACTATCATCCGATTATGACCCTCATAAGGGTTTTGTTACCGTTTCATCACAGTCAGCATCATAACGCAAAACCTTCAAATCGCAGAGGTTCACATGCCCATCCTCTCGCCCGAAACGGTTGTTTGGATGTGCGATGAGATCCGGACTTGTTTAGAATTTTGATGAGCAAGGTTGTCATAATATCCTTGTTGGAAATATTTCTTTCACGTTATCATGTTTAGTACTGTAAAAGTTACAGTAGTTCAAGTATAAGATGTTCACTGACAATATGGAAAGTCCGATATATGTTGAGGGACAATGGGTGAGGTAATTTTGACATGCATCCTTCTTTTGCAACGAGTTCGGTCATGTTACACAAGAACTTGCAATTTTGTACATTGTCGATGGAATCCGCATTAACTCATTAATTTGCCTCGCATAAGAGTTTCAGATATCAATGCAAACTTCAAGTTGTTGATTCTATGAAATGTACGAGTCACATGACATCTGAATGGATGTACATGCAAGAGAGACACACATCTTTGCACAATGAATCAAACACTCAGATCGGAATTTTGTAGATTGTCGATGGAATCTGCACTAAGTCTTTAATTTGCCACGTTTAAGAGTTTCATATACGAATGTGAAGTTGTTGATTCTACGCATTGTAGGAAATCACAAGGCATCTGAATGGGTGTACACGCAAGATACTTTGTGATTTTTTCATAATCGATCACACACTCAGTCTGACATTGCTGAATTCCGACTTGCATCTTCATTCTACTTTGTCATATCATCTTTCAAAGGCTACTCACCTGCACACTCAATGCAATATAGACAAGCACAATCCCCATTCGGGGTCAACACATAATCCCTCCCGTATGCTTATTTTCTTTGTCCTTTTGTTCTTTCCTTCTCCATTCCTTTCCATTGTCCAAACCTTCCTCTTCTCTTTCACATACAATCGGGGTGTTGGTCGAGTCCACTGACCTCTCTTTCATTCAGCAAGTTTCTTCAATCCTTGGGACATTGTCAAACCTCAAGTCCCCTATGCTTACTCGTCCTTTCAATATTCCATCACTTTTTCTTCTTGGTGGCGCAAGGGACCCACAACCCTCCCCTTGCCCTCTCTTTCCACCAAGTGAGATCAAAGTTCCTTCACCGTCTGGCCCCTGACAATATGACAAGCGAACGGTAAAGGATTAGTTGCATGCCAAAAGGAAAAGGGAGAGAAGGGTTAAGATTGGGGAGGGGTAGATGAGGCGGAGTCAGAGAGAGAGAGAGAGAGAGAGAGAGAGAGAGAGAGAGAGAGAGAGAGAGAGAGAGAGAGAGAGAGAAACTCCCTATGTCTAATCAAAGCTTATCCCCTTCTCCTACCGTCCTACCTAAGACCCCTTCTATGTTTCGCAATCCCATATTCCTTTGAACATGACGTCGGTCGACCAATGAGGTGAGCGAAGAAGGTGTGAGGTGGTTGGCCATAGTGGATAGGTGATGGAGATGGAGGAGGAAGAAGGTGTGAGATGGTTGGCCATAGTGGATGGGTGATGGAGATGAAGGAGGAAGAAGGTGTGAGGTGGTCGGCTATGGTGGATGGGCGGAGAAGGTGGAGGAGGAAGGTGTGAGGTGGTTGGCTTTGGCATAAGGGTGGAGGAGGTGGAGAAGGAAGAAGGTGTGAGGTGGTTGGCTATGGTGGATGGGTGAAAGAGGTGGAAGAGGAAGAAGGTGTGAGGTGATTGGCTATGGCAGATGGGTGAA